TTCATTAGTAATAAAAATAATAATCATGCAAGTGACTGTAACCGGTGTAGCCTCAGTCGAATCTCGGTAACAGATTTTGTTCATAGTGTTTAACTAAGTTTAGCACTTAATCTGAATTTCCAATTGTCTTATTCATATTTATTTATTCCATATCTTCCTAGGTAAATATTAACAGTTAATTAAATACAGCTGAAATACTTATGTTATTATAAAAACATTGTGTTATCCGTATTGTTTACTCTTTATTGTTATTCCTGAAAGTCTTACATGATCAAAATTTAACGTAAAGACTCCTGATATTGTTCTGGTATTAATCAATATTGTATAATGTTAAGAATAATAAAAGATAGGATAAATCATTTATCTAGTTTTTTTTGGCTGTTAGAAGTTTTAGTGAAAACAACCTTTTCTGAAATTATCAAAATTACCCAATATGACAGACAAAAATGTTATTAATTTACTGAAATATTTGTCAAGAACTGATAGGATTTTTTCCACAAATTACCGGACTTGATTTTTAACTAGTAAACTAAGAAAAATACAAAGTTTTACACTTTTACTGAATATATTAAGAGTATTTTATACCCATGAACATTTTATACGAGACTACGGGTATTGAAAGCATGTTATTCAAATAAAAGGTGGTATATGGTTACATAGGAACAAACATTTTATATTTACAGGTTGTATTAGCTGGTTTCGTTTCCTTTACTAGTTTAAATAAAATGTACAGAAGTAATAGAATTCTCCCGATGACAGGTGAGAATTTAGCATGCATCAATGTTCCTAAAGGTTAAAAAGTTTATCTTCTTATTATGTAACATTATTCACTTTCCACTTATAATAATAGCCGGAGATACAGAGTATCTGCATTCTATAGGCTACACTCTAAGTCTTTCATGAAATTCGTCTGTAAATCCCATTTGTATACAGTACTATTGTTCACTGAACTCTTTTTATTTATTTCAAGAGCATAAGTTCACATTCACAAACTGTGTGAGAAATAGCAATTTCAAATGAATATTGCTCGCAAATTAAGAGACCTATTCTTGTATTTTTGTGTATTTCATTTACTAAAGTAATTTGAAACAATCACCGATTCTGTTAACTATTGATTTACAGGTTTAGTCAATAAAGTGATGCTATATAAACTTATTTTTCAAACTATACTTTATCACATCATTAACACTTTCAAGTAATTATACTGTAGGCTATTCTAGCATTCGGACAAACCAATCTATTGGTTCTTCTCAAGCCACATCTTTACCCTGTCACTTATTCGCTTATCAGCCTTGACTGTCTTTATGTAAGCATATATGTGTTCATTTCTTATCTTACTCATCACATGTCTCTAACTTATTTTTGTCTGACTATAAATATTGATTCACGTTTGGTTAAATCGAGTTGGTTCACACACCTCCGTCGCACGTCATTTTGTTTTCGCTTTCTGATCACCGATTGTATGAAATATACGTTTCCAAAAATCCATTCTCGAATTTGACTTATTTAATTCCATTATTCACTATCGCGAGTTAAATTGATAATTATATACGAGGATTGGCGACATGTATATTTCGATAACTAGCAGCAAATGATCTTTCATGAGTCAGATCTCGGGCCACTAAAATACTGTTAATGTCCATGGTCAATATCTTCAGTACTGTTGGGCATTTTCGTTACATAGACACTGCAGTCAATTTAAAGACTGGTAAAATACTAGCTAGATAGATTACTAGATAATTAACTTGTGCATCGAGCTTTCGGGGGATTATTTTGTTAAGTACCTAGGTAATAACTGGTCACTGACATCTCCAAAACTTCGACTCAACAGGTCAACGTATTAATCTAATTAAGCCAAAATCCACTTATTAGTTGTCGTTTCAGGTATTCCGGCATTCAAAGTAAGGATATTTTGTATTTAACCTGTTTTAAATATTTGAAAGTCTGTTCGAAGTTAACGACAAAGATATTACTTTAAACTGAACAGTCAATGCAAAAAATAAGCTGAAATTATGAGTACTCAAGAAGAAAACTCATAAGGTTTAAACGGAAAAAACAATGTTGAAATATTTGATGGCATCAGTAATATTTTAGAGATGAAGTAAGCGGAAATTTATAAAACATCAATATTATTAATTTTGGGGTCCCATTAAGATGATCTTCGAAGCTTATAAGTGAACAAAGTCTAGAGACTGATTCCGGTTGGTATCAGTTGTGACTGAAATAAATATTTATCAAAGATCTCACAGTTTGAGAAATTGTGCTGTTTGTATGAACTAATGATTCCTTTGTGCTTGTTGACTGCTTGGTTTCGAATTACAAATACAGTACTTTCGTTTGTGCCTATCTAGTACTTCATGATTAAACTGCATTATTTCTTGGATTCTTAGTTTGTATTATAATTCAAATACTTCTAATTGTCACATTTGCGTCGCGATGGAGCCTTTGATGGAATGGTTGGACATACATTCAGATTTTGATGCTTCTGAGGATTACTTGGAAAGGTTCGAAATCTGGGCTATGACCAAGGAAGACGTTGAGGATGTTAATATTATGGCACATTTCCTTACATTCATCAAAAAAGAAGCATATAACTTATTAAAAACTCTGGCTTCACCAGAAAGGCTTATTTCGCTTCCTTATGCAACTCTCAAGGAACTACTACTAGACTATGTTAAGTATACAAATTTCGAATGCGGTAAAGGGGGAGGATTTCGTAAAATGATTCATCAGGACATCGAAAATTCCAATACATTACTACGTCATCCAAATCCAGTGCGTACTCAAGGTTATGCAGATAATTCACTGAGGAGTTGCGATGGAGTTCACAAAGGTAGGCACAAGTTTGGTTAATGTTTGTCCTGTGGCAAGTTCCACTCATTTAATTCATGTAAATTTCGTAATTCTAAGTGCTTTAAATGTGGTGATATTGAACATATTCAGTCAGTTTGTATCACTACTGTTCATCTTGCTGCAACTAATATTAAGTCGTGTAATTCTGATTCTATTAAGTCCAGTGTTCCTCATGATCATTTATCCTTATCAACGATTTCAAAAGACAGTGTAGAGTCATATAGCAGTTCAGAGTTAAATAAAACTCAGAATCACTGTGAGAAAAAAGTTTCTAATCAACCAACTTATCAGATTTCTTATACTATTGTATCGGATATGGTTTGCCCTAATGATTCACATATTTCTGATGAAATTCCTTGTAAATCTGAGGAAAATATGTTGAGTGAATCAAATCATGATCGAAAACCTGATACAGTTTTGATAGGTGCTGATTTTTCTAATGATCCATTATTCTTTAATGAAATTCTTATTAAATTTGAGGAAACTACTTCAGGAGAATCAAATCCTGACGTTATATCATATATTACTTATCCTCATAATGCATTTGCTTCTTGTGGGAAACTTGTTCAATGCGAAGCACGAGTACTAAACGAACTCAACTATGATTACATTTCGGATGATTTCATATCAACTGTTGTTTATTCTTATCATGAAGTAACTTCTAATGAATACTTAAGCCAATGTACGAAATATGTTTTAAACGAAGCCACATTATTCATAACTTGGGGATATGAAGATCCAACGTTATTTCGTGGGGGAGAATAGTGCTGGAGGATCTATGATTCAAATTCTAGATACCAGTAGTTTCGCTACACAACCAACATGGTGATTGTATACAATTCCAAGACCCAGGTAAGTCCGTTCCAGTTGTTAATCCTAATAATAATGAGTACATTCTAGATCATCCAGATTCTTCATCCAATACACTGTCGCACAGACACAGGATCAACATAAGGAGAAGACGTAAATAAATTACAGACAGTTAGACTGCAATTTATGCTGTGGCGGATGTAGTGTTTGTATGAACTAACGATTCATTTCTACTTTTTGAATGTTTGATTTTGAATTCCAAATACAATACATTAATTCGTGTTTATTATTTCTTGATTAAATTACGTTATTTCTTGGATTCTTAGTTTGTACTATAATTCAAATACTTTTAATTATCACAGAAATTTAAGAAAATTCCACAAATGATCTTAAATTTATAATGTAAATTGGTTAAAGAATTGAACTTAATCAAAATTCCACAAAAGAACTTCTAATCATGGTGGAGAAGATTTGTAGCTCAGGTGGATGATTTTGATGAAGTTTCGTTCTCTAAGCTGGATGGTTTGGTCGTGGAAGAATGATGAAAGCTCCACGACTAAACCATCCAACTCAGAGAACAAAACTCCATCAAAAACTTTTAATCATCCTCCCTGCACTCTTGTATAAATATTCTTTTTTTTCATAATCAATAAAATAACTTAGGCTAATTTTACATCTATTCTTTTGTCACATAAATGCTTAAATGATTGCACAATATTTTATTGATTTTATATATATGACAAGTTATTATTACATTCTATTATTATTATTATTATTATTATTATTATTATTATTATTATTATTATTAGGTAATCAGTATTATTTATTTTTTCGCATAACTTAACCCTTAAAATTATTTAACTTTGGTAGAAAATATTCATTGAAGAGTCATTGCTTGCTTGAATTTTATGCCTTTTTTTCTTTTGCTTTATATTTAAGCGAACTTCATTCATCACAATAAATTTTGAATAATGATTATTTATATACATTAAATAATAATGCTATCGATAATCAATATCGATCAGATGTGATAAAGATATCTTGATGTTATTGATAATCAATACTATTTTAATTTGTAAAATATCAATCACAAGGTACTTTAAAAGTGCTCTTTTATTAATTTTTTTAAAAAAAAAAGAAAAACACTATTACTGCTTCATATCTGTTGTATCCATTAGATGTCAATAAATATTTACGTATGTATGATGCTGATTGATAAAATTGTTTTTTTTTTCTAAACATTGGTAGGAAAAAAACAAACCATACTGTCAAATTACAATAAATAATGCCAAATAGATAGTTGTAAAATTTATCACAATAATAATATGATAATTATACTAGGATGTCAGTTCATATGACGATGATGATGATGATGATGATGATGATGATGATGATGATGATGATGATGATGATGATGATGATGATGATGATGATGATGATGATGATGATGATGATGATGATGATGATGATGATGATGATGATGATGATGATGATGATGATGATGATGATGATGATGATGATGATGATGATGATGATGATGATGATGATGATGATGATGATGATGATGATGATGATGATGATGATAAGACGTTTTTAGAATAGAAATAAACAAACATTTAATATGATATAGTGGAAGATAGTTTATGTATATGATCCTAAACTTTCTTCATGTTTATGGATATTAAGTTTAAAAAGTTGACTGATGAAATGAACTGTTTAATAAATGTCACTTAAAACTTTTTTATAATTAGGTTCATCTAATACAAAATCATGGGAAACGAGGTAGTGAAGTTAAAAGTATTTAGCTGAACAACTACGTTTTTATATTTTCAAAATGAACAACAGAAAAAAATAAGTACCGAGAATCAATTCACTTATCAATAAATTAGACAGAATGACCGATTCATAATTGTTTTAATTTATAGATAAAGATGTAAATGGTTCAAATTTCAGGTAAGCAACACATTATCATTACAAACAGTGTGATTCATACAACAATACTATGAACAGTTAAATCTATCTATTGTCTGATGAAAAGGTTTATAAATGTTCTATATTCACCCCCACTTCATATCTTGTTAGAACATTAAAAAGTTTATTTATCAACTATTTTCAATATTCAGAGCCTTATTCAGTCAGTCAATCAGTCAAAACTGAGAATTTCCAGTATATTCTAACCATGACATAATCTATTAGTTTTCATCAGAATGTTTACTTCATTGAAAAATTTTAAGAAATAATTGTTTTTCAGTAACATTTCCTGGATCAGTGAATGATAGATCGGTTCGCTGTGAGATTAATTAAATATCAAAATAATAAACTAAGTAATACCAATTAAAGGAAACTATATCTCAACATTTCCATATTCAATGTATGTGTATGTATTTAGATGAAATAACTAATTATATTATGAAGTTTGCTTTTCATTAGTGGTCATTTATGTAAAGAAAGGATGAAAAAGAAACCTCACAACATAAGTAGTCCATCATTTTCGTTAAATATTAAACCAAAAACCTAGAATTTCAAGTGACATTTTCTGAAGGGGATTTTTAAAGATTTATATAATTTCTAGATAATTTTTTAATAAAAACTGATGTGATTCAACGACATAAGATATTACATCGACAACAACAGTTAAATTTTATTGTTATACTGTAACTTCAGTCTACGTTAGTCAGCTATAAAGTAGGACCAGGCATATATTTGCATCGGTCCAAGTTGCCATACCACATTAGCACAACAAGATGAACACCGGATTCATAGAAGTACTTAATTCAATGGTGGTAATATATAAAAGAAAGATTGTGTATAAGGATATAGTACAGCAAGAAAGAATTAGTTCGTAGAAAGAAAGATATGAAGCAATTTTAATCTCTTAGTTTAAGGGAAGACAAAGAGTGTATACACCGACGCCATTGTGATCGATTCTGAGCCATGTCACCAAGACTCTCCAACCATTGGTTACGAAAGTCACGCGGACCCCAACCAAGTAGTCTGCATCTACCAACATGGCTCAGACTACAAGTTAGTGACTTCAAGCACTGATGCCACGTTTTGGTTTGGCCGCCCTTAACTTTCTTACAACCATCTCCAACACCGGTTAGCATTGCTCGTCGTGGTAATCGGTGTTCAGGCATACGTAACACGTGGCCCAACCATCTCAGTCGATGAAGATTCATAACCTCATCAACTGATTTACCATCATTCCCTAATACCCTGCGTCTAACCTCACTATTACTTATCCGGTGATCCCAGCAGACGCCAGCAATATATCTGAGGTCAAATACTAGTAGCTTACGAGTGTCTTCTACTCTTAATGGCCATGTTTCGCTGCCGTAAATTAAAACAGAACGGACTGCTGCGCAGTATACTCGTCCCTTAATTAATAGACAGATATCTCGCCTTCGTCACAGGTGACGTAAGTTGGCAAAAGCCAGACGAGTTTCTGAATCCGTGCTGAGACTTCGTCAGACATCAACCCATTAAGGGTGATTAGACGTTCAGGACACGCTCAACTAATTCACTCACCACTATTAGTTCAGGTGCCAATGCAACTCAATCATGAAGCAGCAACTTGCATTTAGAGGGAGAGAAGCGCATTCCAAACATTCTGGCATTGTTGCTCAGTGCTACCAAAAGACTCTGCATTTTATCAGAATCTTCACCAAACAGAACTATGTCATCTGCGTATTCTAAGTAGATAATTGGACCTCCTGGTAGGAGGTCAATTACTGAAAATCCAGTCGAAAAAAATGTTATTTCCATCAGTGGGACTATGATGAAATTGAACAAAAAAGGAAATGGTGGACAGCCCTGACAGACACTACTTGAGGTTATAAAAGCAGATGACAGTTCTCCATAAGCTCTCACTCGACTGGTACTGTTTGAGTAAAAAGCCTTCACAAGGTCTAGGTACTTCTGATGTACGTCTTTTAATGACAGACAGTGTCACAGTACTTCTCAGTCCACAGAGTCAAATGCTGCTTTTAAGTCAAGAAAGACCACCATTGTCGGACGCCGATAAGCATATCTGTGTTCTAAAATCTGACTAATAGTGAATATGTGGTCGATGCAGCCACGACAAGGTCTGAAGTCAGCCTGATTTCCTCGTGTTTTCAGTTCACTAGTCTTTGTTAGGTGCCCGATAATTATTAAGGTCAGTATTTTAGATGCCATATTTGTTAAAATAATCCCTCTATGGTTATCACAGGATGATTGTGACCCTTTCTTATATATTGGGACAATCAGTGGTTGTGATCAGTCAGATAGAATTACGTCCAACTCCCAGATTTTAGCTAAAATATTAATCAACCTAATCGATAAGACTGGACCACCATCCTTAAAGACCTTTGGAGCGAATCCATTCGGACTAGTTGTTCTTCTTCGTTCCAGGTAAGCTGTAACTTTAATTTATTTTTATTAAATTAATAGAATCTTCTTTAGTGAATCATTTGTTCTCGGACACATAGCTTAAGCTTTTATTTTAGAAGAAAAAAGTACAAATAGGTAAACAACAATAATTTAAATGGTAAACATATGAACTTATTCCGTATGATCATCACAAATAAAATGTCATTAGTTCAACTGGCACAGAAAACTCAATAATAATTCTTTAATTAATTATGATGAGTAGCTAGAATCTATAAATAACTAAATAATTGTAATGATGAGAAAAAACAAACTTTTATAGTCAGTTAGATCTTGCGATACAGGTAAACAATCGTATATAGTTGTTAACAAACACAACAGAAATGAAATTCCTTTGTTTCTCTTTTTTTCTTTTTTCTTGAATAAATAAAACAAGGTCAACTGAATACTGGTCTGTCTATTCATAAAGAAAAAAACAACTCTCAGTAAATGAAATTATAAGATATTTCTGAACATTACTTAGCTTCATTGTTACCATCTAATTAACAACCAGTTTTTAAATTGTATTGTTTTTATCATAATTCACATGTAAAGCATTAAATAGTATAGATTATTATCATTATAACTTATCTATGGAAAAGTGTATAATTAAATCTTCTAACATAACAAATCTATTGAAACAAACATAGAGAAGGTTAGAATATTAAGGTATAATAAAACCTTATTCAATGTGTTGTCCTGAACAAAATATCACTATGTGAAATAACATCACTATTCATAAGTACATTTATTTTCATGTTTAATAGTGATGATTTTACAGTAAATAAAAAAATACGATAATTATCAGAAGGGGTTTTGTGGAGATTTAAGTAATTTCAATGGTTGAAATCATGAGTCAATTGAAGCTAGACCACCATGGAAAAAATTGGAAGCACTGGACGGCCATCTCGTCCAAGTATGGGACGCTTCAACAGTGCGCATCCACGGTCCTGCCCCCCGTGAGATTCGAACCCAGGACCTATCAGTCTCGCGCTCGAGCGCTTAACCATCAGACCACTGAGCCGGCATCCAATGGTGTTAATGTCTAACTTCAACCAATCCACGAAATTGTACCACCGTCACCACTGTCTTCAGTGAGCTGGGGGATCGTCGATGCGCACTGCTGAAGAGTCCCATACTAAGACGAAACGGCCGTCTAGTGCTTCCAGGTTTTCCATGGTGGTCTAGCTTCAATTGACTCATGATTTTAACTATTGAAAATACGATAAGTAACAAAAATTAAGAATTTCACGACATTTCAGGAAAGAAAAATTTGTGTTAACCATAGTAGATGCAAGCAAAATATAGTACTAGGAACAGCTTTAAAGATAAAGGCAAGTAATTACAATCCATCAATTAATAATAGTAATAATAATCACGTTCTCACTAATGCCCAGTTATCAGTTGGATTTTCTTTTTTAAATTCCGATGAGAAACTATAATTCATGAAGTCAACAAATTCAAAATCGAGGCAGTTTACTACTTAGAATACTGGATAAAAATTGATCAATGTTCTTAACTGATTGCACCTTTTTTAATATTGTATCGTGTTATTTATGAGATGTGAAGTCATTGGTCTTGACTTCACAAGTTACGGGTGTTGAGACTCGAATCAGAATTAGACAGTTATCAAATGCTTTCTTACTTTTGATATTTCTTCAGTTGATATCTGTTTGTGATTAGGACTACATTCAAATCAGAGAAATTTTCACATACCACCTACTTGAATAAAATAAGGTAGATTAAATATATTGCATCATTTTGAATATACGTATTATTAATAGATTGTAAACATATAATTAATATATCCTAGAGGCATGTACATAGAACTTACCGGTAATCTCTCTGTTTTTTTTTTATCGTAACAACAAGTTTTGATCCAACAAAATAAATCCCATAGATATTTTTTTTAGAAACCCCACGTTATTTCACCAAGAATCATATTCTTCTATTTCTGATCTTCATGTCACTAGTTTATTGTATCACAAACTATGACATGAATCTCTGAAACAGTCGTAAATAATTTGATATTACTGATATTTATTAATAATACATATTTTCTCAACAGATAACATTAAACTAGAAAAAACCTTTTACTGATCATAAGTATCTTTGAACACTTTCTAAGGGCTTGACATACATGGAAATTCCTCTGCGTCATATAATTATCAGTCCTAAGAATAATTCTACCAAAGAAGAAAGATTATCT